CGGATGTATATGTGTATGTGTGTGTATGTGTGTGTATGTGTGTATGTGTATGTATATATATGTGTATCTATATTTGCTTATACGTATTCATACACGCATAGTTTTAATTCTGATATCAGTGTCCACGCTATTTCTCCGTTGTGGAAGGACCCAAACTACGTAAGAGTAAAGTTGGATTCCATTCGTGATTGTGTGTGCAATCTCTACCAGGAAATAGGAACTTGATGTCTCGAGCCAGTTCCATTTGCAAATTTATTCGATCGTTTCTTGTACGTGCATGCTCAATGACGTGACGTGTATCAACTGGCTGTTATGTAGTTCAAGTAAAGGCATAAATGCAGATAATACCTATCTTACCACAATGTACGGCTTTCTTCAACAAACATGAGTGGTCGCACCCGTTGCGTGGTCGTATGTGTTAGTGAAACTGATGTAATTGCAAACTCTTTCTGTTATTTGGCTATATCATTTGTCATCATATCGTATACTAAACTTTATACCCAGTGGTCTATGCCTCATTTTAATTGCTACCTACACCACGGCTCCATAGGGTTCAATCAACAAACAGCAAGGGTCACATCCATTGCGCGACCGTGCGCGTAAATTGGACCAGGGTATTCTGATTGTGAGATTCGAGCTGCCGTACAATATCTGGTGCCTGGGATGCGATAAAATGGTTGGAATGGGTATGTTTCTGACTGTATTTCCGCTATTAATACGCTTGGAATTTGGCAGAGGCGAGGGGGGGGGGGGTGTTTCAGGCCGTCTGTGGTTTCAAAGGGTATGTTTTGAGTACAATTCCTGTAGTCGTGTTACTCCAATGGCTGCAAAATTGTAATTGTCAGTTTTGTGCTCATGTTATAAGTTGTATACACTAGTATGGTATTGACGGCGCGCGCACGTGTATCTCTGTCAGTATATCGCACCGCCACAGCGCTGCATGCTTAATTTCCACGCAATTGGGTCTCTGGATTCACAAATGACAAAGTCCTGTATGTACGGTCACGTTCCTAGTACATGTACTGTTGTTATCACGCTGCATGCATAAA